GTTTTTAGAGCATAAACAGTAGTGTATAGGATTTCCTCGGGCGCCATAGACCTCCATTATTTGAATGTCAGCAGACAGCAAGAAGCCTCCCAGATCTCCAGATGCATTTGAGATATCAAAAAAGTACTCCAGAGTGTTGTTCAGCATGGGGGTGAGTAGAAAATGAAGGCTAATCATGTTTTGGGTGTACTATTCCTTTAAGGTCACAGCAATTTGTGAATGGTCAACGCCATCTGCTCGCAAATCAGCTACAGATATTTCTGTTTTTTTTTAATTTTTTGGAGAACTAGTACAAGGTAAAAATAAATTATTTATGTTGCTTTACAAATGTGTTTCAGACAAGCTTGACATTTGGCAAAATGTTGTGCAGTGGCTTAAACTGAGGTCTCAGTTTGTATAAAGCCACATATATCTGGTGTTTTCCTCAATGCCATAGCCCAGAAAAGCAAAGTTTTGGGAGTAGGACAGGGGGAATTACAATGTAGGAGAAGCTTTCCTGTTTTATATGAATGTTTTACGCAGCATAGCTGCAGCAGTGTACATTAAAAAAATGACCAAACAAAGCATATTTTTGTACTGTCTCCCAAAAAAAGGAAAGTCTCCTCTTAAACAGATTGATGTTTACAGGTAAATTCTATAGTAATTCTGATATGTAATTAGCAAATTTTGCATATCCTTTGCTTCAGACTTTAAAATAAGCTAACCAGCTTAATGACTATTGCAGAAATTTTAAACCTTTTCAAGTATTGGTGAACAAGTAACAAAATGACAAACTTTTATTTCACAATAGTGCATAGAATTTAGATTTACTGAATCATTTCATTCATTGAGGCAGGGCCTATAACTGCTGCTGACTGTTCTGAAGAACAAGATAGGCAAATAAATATAGAACAGTGGAAATGAGGATTCTGATGTCAGGAGATCTTTTTGTATTTTTGTCAGGTCACATTTATGTAAACTAATGAGAAAATTAGCCAATACTCAGTCTGATCTGTCACTTCTTGTTCTACAGATAAGGCTTTTTATGACTCCAGACAAGATTTTCTTCAGAAGCCTTTTCTCCACTCATCCCTGTCTTCGTTCTCCAGAACATTCAGTGGTCAGCACTGTTCAGTCTAAGCAGCCACAGACAGGGGTGCAGGGCTCTGCAGAGAAACATGGCATTTTACATCACTTTTTAACACAAATTCTGTCTGCCTTTGGGAGGGGTGGGGGCACTTACAAAGATATTTTAAGCATCCCCTGATGGCAGAAAACTTTCTTGAGGATTTGGAATACACTTTTTTTTTTTTTTTCCTTGGGTGATGTTTAGTCACTAAGCTTTGACTAATACAATCTGCCCTGGAATAAATCTTTCAGATCAAAGCACTTTTTCAGATGTATAAAGTCACAGTTGGTAATCTGAAAATATATTGTCTTGTTCCCTTTTTCCTTGCTGACGTCTCTGCTTATGGCTGTTCTCCAATAGATGAAATTAAAGCAACTGACCACAGCTTTCCATCCTCTCCTCTTCCTTCCCAGACACACTCACTGATGTTTTTGTCTCCAATCTGTCATGAACCTCCTGTTTTGCTCTGAAATCTGAGTAACAGAGCGTGACTAACCAGGAGATGTTCATCAGTCTGTCGAAGAGACAGCTTACTGTCAGACTGAAGCGGCTGCAACAAGACACTCACTTATAAGAAAAGCCACATGGAGGCAGCGGAAAATATCCAAAGCTGGGGTTATGTTTTTATTTTTTTTTTTTTTTTTGGGGGGGGATAATAATAATCTAAGACAAGTCCATCTGTTGCAGCATACATGCAAAGGGGTTTTCTTTTTAGGTTTTTTTTATTTGAATTAAACACTTCTAGCCTTTTAGAGCATAGTGTTGAATCGCATTATCAAATGTTTTTATTAAAATCCCTTTAAAATCATAGCTGTATATATAAATGTGCATAGAAGCAGAAGAAAAATCATCTCACATGTCCTAAAGACAACATTTGTGCTGTTAATTTATTCTGGAATCGTTTTTTGTATCTAGCCACCTGATCTGAAGATGCAGCTTTATACAGGACATATTTTTAATGATTAAGGGTAGTTTTTTTTATAATAAAATTTTTAAAAAGGCCTGTAAGAAGTTGTCACAAAGTTTAAGTGCACAAACTTACACATTAGACCACCAACCGTGTTGAGTTAACAATGCAACCTCTCCAATTTTTTATCCATTTACCACAGCCATTCACTACTTTCAGTGATTTGAAAGTTGTTATAATGCTAATAGCTTTAAAGCTCAATTCACCCCCTCCCAAAGACAAAAAAAGTCTTCTCAATTTCAAAGTTTACATAATATTTACTCCAATCTTAAACAATTTCATGTCCTGCACAAACTGATAAAAATGCATGATGTCTACACTTAGAAGACATAAAGAACCCCAAAGTTTTCAGTTTTTATTATTATTATTATTATTTTTCATGTTATAAAATGCTAATTGAATTGCTTTTACAAAGATGTAAAAGCTTAAAAAAAAACAAGACACCGGTATATGAATGAACACTCCTTCTCCCTTGTTGAAGTCTGGCTTTAAGGTGTCTCTTCCAATGACCTCTGAGATGCTGATTGCTTGCAGAACACATGGCAGTTTGGAGAGAAAATACTTTAATAAGTTTACAATCTTTTGTATGGATTACATTAATAAGTTTAGGCTGCTACTGCACATGTTTATAAGGCTGCATGTAAATACAATTCAAATTAAAGTAAGAGTTTCTATACATAAAGATGCATGTGATAAAGAACAGTAACTCATAAAAAGCAAGCTCTTGTTGAGAATTTATGTCCTAGGGTTTTTACGGTAAAAATTATTATTTTTTTTTATGTTCAGTTTTAAGTTTATGTTCTCAGCCTTAGAGACAGAATATAACAAAGGTTTTAAAATATAGCTATTTAAGAGTATATTTCCTTTTTGTTGACTTTTATTTGGAGAAATACTTTTCCTGCATGTTTGCATGTGGTAGACAACAATGGAATGTCAAAGGCTGTGATTTGAGGTAACAAAGGGTGAATTCACCCTCACTAAGTATACAATATGAAATGTTTGGGATAAAAATGCATGAATAAAGATATTAGATATTTAATAATATCATAGTTGGAGCATATATTTACATCAAGTTAAACAAAGAAAGATGAGGTGGTTGTTAGAGATGGATTTTAGTGTGCAA